TCTCAGCTTTAACCGTCTAAGTTGAAGAGGATTGTGAAGTAGAAGCCAAGTGTGTAGATAACATTGTCATCAGTTCTTGGTAGTGGTTTGGACTCAAGTTTTGCATGAATTTGTCAACTCCAGTGTGAGGATCTGTAGGCCTCTCCTCGATCTGTGGATGAACAGAAATTTGATTAACATTGTTATTTTTGGGAAAATTTTGAAAATTATCTCGTGGCCTAGATTTAAAACCAGGTGGAAACCCATGGATTTTGTAACATTTATCAATTGAGTGGCCATGATATTTGCAGTGAGTGCAATAAGGCCTATCCTTTTTCCAGTTGCCAGATGCACTTCGAAAACCAAAATTGGTCCTGTCTCTACCATTATCAGATCGAAAAGCAAAAGCAGTTCCACCGTCTGAAGCAACACTGATAGAAGTATTGCTCATCTTTCGCTGATGTTCTTCTTGTGAAATCAGTGAGAACACCTTATTAATAGAAGGCACGGGATCCATTAGAAGAACCTGACCTCGTACTTGAGAGAAAGAATCGTGTAGTCCCATGAGAAAGGCCATGATGTATTCCATCTCATAGTGTTTATTCAGTTCTTGAACACCACCACAAACACATTTTCCACAACTACAATTAGGTCGAAAATTTGTCAATTCCTCCCAAATAGTCTTGAGTTTAGTGAAGAACACACTTACTGAGTTCTGATCTTGCGTCAAATTCATTAGTTCTTTCTTTAATTGAAATATTCTCGGACCATTATTTTGTTGAAAACGTTCTTTTAAATCATACCAGATCTCATAGGCAGAAGAAGCATAAATCACACTGGCAGAGATATCCTTCGAGACAGAGTTAAGGATCCAAGATATTACCATATTATTGTTTCTAATCCATGAATTGACTAAATCACCGTCATTATTCTCTGGTTTCTTCATGGAGCCATCAACGAAGCCAAGCTTATTCTTGATTGACAATGCGATAGTCATCGCGCGACTCCAGGAGCCATAATTCTCTTCTGTGAGCTGTTGAGTAACAAGCACCAGACCGGGACTGTCGGAATGGTGTAAGAAGTAAGGACTGGAAGGTTCATCGACGATGGATTTGGTCGAGGCAAACCTAGAATCAGATCCTCCTTCATGAATGATTTGTTCCATGATGATATGAATGAGAAATTGAAGACGAAATTGAGGTAAGAGTGAAGCAGATTTAAAAAAAAATGATAGAAGAGACGGTGAATCGCGATTTTTGGAATCGAGAGAAAGGAGATGAACAGTGATTCGGAATCAAGAGGAAGAATGCAACAAACTCAAATCATGCAGTTCAATTTTCCTCAATTTTTGCTCTGATACCATATTACAATTTGAAGAATTGAATCAGAAGTTTTATTCCTCTCACCATCAAAGAGTAAAGTCGAAACATTAAATAGAAAAAGGAAGAAAAGAGGCGGGAAGCCAAGAAATAAAAAATCCAGTTGGCAAACTAAATGTACAGGTGGCAAACTAACCCAACTAACTACTAACTAAACTATAGTTATAATAATTATTGGTGTATATGTGATGTTTTGTCAATTATAGTATCATTTTTGCTTTAATAAATCCCTAAAGTAAGCTTTAGGAACTTAGAATACAAAATTTACCTAGTGTGGCATTTATTTACTACCAGGAGAAGAAATTTCATGGAAAAGACGACCAAGTGCTCAAACTCCCACCTCAAAGATGAAAATTATATTGTGAAATTTGTATTGTAAAAATAATAAATGTTAATGAAATAATTGAATTTTTTTAGAGAAAATGCGAGTTAAACGTCTTTCTTTAAAACTTACGTTTAACCCATTTTTAACTATTTTCGATATATGTTTTGATTATTCGATATGCTTATAATGTAGTTCTCGAAATAAGTTTTGAGATGACATAAGCAATTTATATATTCGATCAGCGTACGATTGTCGAAAAATTTTTAAAGTTAGTATGTTATCGAAATTTTCGAAATACTAATTTCGAACAGCTTACTTTGACAAGTCCTAGCATTTGCTACGATTGATCATTTTGTATGCCATTAACGACGTAGAAAACTAAATCGTGAATATTTCGAAATTGTATTAAAAATGCAATATTTCGCCCTTATTTGATGGAGAGTTAAGATTTTGTTAAAAAGCGAGAGAAAAAAAGAAAAATTAAAATTTATTGTGATTTTGCCCCTATTTGATGGAAATTAAAATCAAATTTTTAGTAAATTTTGATAAAAATTAAAAAGTTATGAATTCCATAAAATATGTTATTAAAATTAATTGTTAACTTCGATTTAGATTAAAATTTATATTTTAATTGATACCAAACATGATT